CATGCGTGTAAACAATCTAATTTGAGGCGTATTCTGAAACTCACCCACAAATCTTATTTGTGAATTGAACAAAGGAAATATAGCTTTCGTCTTTCACAGGCTCGAAAGCTAGCTATTATTTCATTATGTTAATAAACGAATTTAACTACTCCACGGTGACACGTAACAACGGCCACGCGAGCTCATAAATAACTCTAGTACAAATGAATTTCTTGAAAAGGTCGTCGAAATATGGCTTCACGTGTGAATCCAGTCACGCGACCTCCAAAACTCCCATACTTTATTTACCCATCGTATATTACGCTTAAAACTCATGATATTAATTAGGTATACTATAAATATTATATACCGAGACACCTTAATATTTTTTCGATTTGTTTAGTTCTCTAAATTCTTTATTCATATGTATAACAATATGGTATCGATGTAGGTTTACATACATCGAAATATCCTAAGATTGACTGAAACGGCGACAGACAGGGGGTTTACATCCCTCTTACGACCGTCGATGTGAATTGAGATATATCTCAAAAACATAATCGATATTTTTAACAATGCTTTGCTAGTAGGGTGAGCCCGCTTACGAAGGGGAGAACCATATCATTTTGTTCAGACTTCAGTTCGTTGCCAAGGAAAAGGAAGTTTTGTTGAGACATCAAAAATTAAACTATGAAGAGATACAGTTTTTTAAAATATTATAAAAGTGAAATAAAAAATAATAATAATAAAAAAATGATACATGTTTTTTAGTTCATACTTAATTACATATCAATATGACATTTGTAATATTCTGTTTTGTTGTTCTCGGTAGATGCATTAATAGGTAATTCTTCTCCAATACTGTAACAATCATAACTCAAACACTATATGTACCTATATTTATAACTTTATATAATACATATATAGGCATACGTAGTTATATAATTTTTAATTGTTATGTAATACCTCCTAGACTGCGGACACTTAGCAATAGATTTCTTAGAATTTTAATTAATTTCTTAGTTTACCTGGAGGTGTTAACAAGATTTATAAAGAAAATGTTTGCAAGTCCATAAGCATTATACATCGTATCTCTAAGTAGTCAATACTCATAAATAAAATAGAATTCAACTGTTCTAAGCTTTTATAAAGAAAACCCTAAGAAAATAGCATCGGATTTGCCTCATTGTACATTCATTATCAAAGTACCTATCCGTTGAAAGTCTTGAAACATTGCGTAGGCTAAAACGCGCAATTTACATACACCTACATTTTGCTAAAAGCTTTCCAAATTTTAACGAGTCGGCGAAGCAGACTTGGAAGATGAGCATGAAGTAATTAATAATTTACAAATCCGGGGCATACTGTTTAGGTGATAATGTATTTCAAGTATATTATATTTCATATAATAAATCCCTTTTGGTTATCCACGTTATATTGTATATGTATACTATACGAGCATATATATATATATATATATATATATATATATATATATATATATATATATATATATATATGGATATGAAGTATGATATTAGAAACGTGAATTAAAAATGAAGCCGGAACGGGATAATTAACGTGTATATTCCTCAAGTTTCTCAGACAAAAGCCTGTTTATTGTAAAAGTTTAATTACAATCCTTAACCTTTATGACACGAATTTTAAACCTTTTGTTCAACTGTGTTTTGTTTTTGAAAGTATGCTGTTAAATTAATGCTAATGACCTGCTACAGCCTGCTTCATTACAAAAGCGATTTGGAAGCTAAAATTGCAAAGTTTTTTTGTATTGTAAATAGTATAGGTTGAAAGTTAGAAAACAAAATAGAGGACAGACGTTTTAACACGGAGTGCAAGAAAAACCTTGTTCAGTTGGCAGTGATGGATGCGATCGGCAAGCTGCTGCTAACACGGACTCGGATTTTAGCTAAACACAAAATAACTCGCAAATTGAAAACCAAATTTTATCTACGGTGATTTGCAAATAGCATTTTATGGTGACGCCCTTTTTAGTAACGTTTGATAGATATTGATGGAGGCGGGTCTTTTGCATGTGACAAGGGTATGGCGTAAATATCTCACAACCTACCAATTTGTATGATTAATTGGGCTTCTACAGAAAACATGGACAAAATAAAACACTGTATTATCTTTTCGTAACTTATTAATAACTTAATATGTCTTCAAATTTTTTATATGTATATCTACTTCATTAAATTTTCAAAGGAGCTTATACGAGTACCATACGTATATATGCTTCCTCTTTAATTATTTCTTTCGGTGAATAAATAACATTTATTTTCCGCTTTTGTTGCCCTTTTCTTCTTTTGTGAATTTTCTAAAAAGCGTCCAAAATTTTTTTAAGTTGCAGTTTATAAAGTCAATTTTAATCATATCGTGTATCGAAACTGCAGTCTTCGGTGTAGTTGATCTGCGTACTACATGATTGATACTTGTAATCCTGCAAAGGTATTTTGTCTCCAAGCAAGTCAAGTATGGCACGGATGTGACGTTACATTTCGGTTCCTATTTACTACTCTTGGTGTAAACTATCTTTTCGCAGTTTTATTTTATATTTTTGTTTCACAGCGTTATGAATACTTTACAGCAAACATGGTCACGCAAAATGTCAAATAATCGCGTAAACCTAAGATAATATTATGGTTCTAGATGAATTTTTAGAATAAACTAAATGTATCCCATAGAGACTAATAGATACACCCGACAAAAAGTATCCTGTGTACAAGTATGTTATGAGCTAATAATGTGTGTTGCATGAAAATCTGTTATAACGGTTTACCCATGATAAATATCCACAAAATTTCACTTTTATAATATGAATATTAAAACAGGTTATGCTATAAATAATAAATAATTCACGTAACTTTTTTAATTTACCAAAATTTTCGACGCTTTTAAAAAACTGCAACCTATTACGTTGTTTGCACGTTGGACAAAATTTTAATCGCCTTTGACTAAGCCGACATGTGAAATGGCGTTAATCTTTTATCAAAATACTTAGTACCCCATTCTCGTCATTGTGGATGGCAACCGGTGCGTGGATTAAGTGAAATCAATTTTGCCTGTGTGATGGCTATACAATGAAATCAGACAAAAATAGCAAAAGGTAATGTGAGGTAGGTAAGTAAGAGGTGTTACTTCGATGATATAAATTCTATTTCAGAAATTATTATTTAAGTAATTTCATTTAATACTTAGATTTACGGTAATATTTGACATTGTAAATAAAATTATCTTTTCGGATCACTTCGCGGATTTATTTTGATTTAAGGTTCACGACGTTTCATTTATTAAAGCCAAATGCGAACGAAAATATAAAAATAAACATTAAGACATGTGTTTGTATTAGTGATTATTATATCTACCACATGTGAGGGGTCGCAGCTAAATCTCGACGGGACATACATCATCGGCGTTTGACATAAGCCAATTATGTGTTTTAACAAAAAGTTTATAATTTCCGAATTAGGCGCGGCTATTAAAAGGGATGTAACAATCTCGCCCTAAAGTTTTTAACACCTCCCCTCGAATTGAGCAAAATATTATAATTTATTTGGATTGTAATATAAACTCTTTTGCTTGAAAACTCGTCTTCATTTTAGTCTAAGCTTTCTTGGCTACGATTGTTAAGATTTTGCAAATACAAGCGTGCTTTAAATATATATTTTTTGTTGTATTACCTGTAAATGACTAGCGACTCACCCTCGCTACGCTTCCGGTTCGTTCCAATATAAAAACAAATCTATCACACGGGAACCATACATTTTTCCATGATAAAAAGTAACTTATGTGCTATTCCAGAAATACCAATATTATATAATTAACAAATTTCATACAGATGCGTTCAGTCTGAATATTTCTGACGTGAAAGAGTAACAAACATACATTCATCCTAACCAACTTTCACATTTATAGCATTACTATTAATAATTGGATAAAACTAGTGTCGCGCATTACTTGCAGAAATTAAAACAGCTTCTGTCATTAGGTATTTTCATGAACTTAGTATATTAAATCGATGACTATTCTATCATTGCTGTATGAAAGAATAACACAAACAAATCTACTAACAAAAATCTAACTTTTAAAAGGAATAGTCGCAAAGTTTCATAGAATTTATCTAATATTGCATAATTATTAATAATAACATATATACCTACCTATGTTATTATTAATATATTTACCAGTATATTTGTTACATCACTAAAATCATTGTTAATAGACTATTATTTCTGTAATTTTCGTATTGGTTACAGATTTAGAGGTTCAAAATCCTAATTGCTCCTCTCATTTAGATTAACATAAATTCAGGCACCGCGATACCGTTCATACTGCAGTCGGATGAAACATTCACGTTGATTACATCCATAAATTTCTAGTAACCTGCGCCACGTGTAAATGGTTGATATATGATCCTGCAAAGGTGTGTCGCGGTGTTTTGTCAAATAAAACAGTAAGTTATGACGTCAATATTATTCGTGTACAAATTTCTTATAATTTCGTGATATAATTGAATGCTGTATGTTTTTTGAATACGTAATATATACCTATATTGAGATGTCCATTTAAAAAACCAGTATCTCCGACGTTTAGTATTATTAGCGATACTATGTTAATGAGTTTATTGCACTGAGCTATAGATTTTGTACCTTTTTTATGCTATCGGAATTGATTAAATACGCAAAAAAGTCAGTTACAGTTTTAAAAAGCAAATTAGGATTACCGTCTTAAATGAACTAAAATCGGAAAGACAACACAGCTGATCTTAGTTTGTTTATTTTCTAACCAACAAACGGGACGTGTTTGCAGTAAAGTTTACTAAGTAATTATCAGATATAAAGTATATAGTAATAATATAATAACTAAGTTTAAGTAAGTTACTACATATAAATGTATTTAAAATTACTAACATTGCTGTTTATATGGTCTACCAGTTTCCTAAATAGAATAGATATCGTTCGGAAAGTTTGAATTAATATTTTAAACTTAAAGGTATATTAATCATAAATCCTCACCTTATGAATAGGAGTCCCCCAAAAGTCATTCAGGAAGATATTTGAGATAGGGGTCTGTGGTCTTAAGTCCCTGTTCTCCTTTATGGCACTAATATCATCGAAGACGAAGCCGCAGTAAAGGCAGTTGTGGTATACCAGTATGCAGGCGAGAACCAGAACAGCCCCAAGTCCCCTCCTGGGGGCTTCAGGCATATCTTCTGTTGCCTGACTGGGACCAACTGTCAATCGTCTCTTACTACGACCTGTTCGAGTTCTTACGGCCGACACTACTCCTCCGAACCTACACACACCACTTACGCGGTCCATTGTGAATTAAACCGGCATTCTATTAACAAATCCTTTCACATAACACTGTCAAAATCCATGCTTTACAAACAAATCCCATTTAAAACGAGCCCGAGCCACCTAGAATGTCAGCAACGATATCACGATCACGAACGAAACTCAAATACGCTATATAAAATCTGCGTAAATACGCTTTGCATGGGAATTTAACACAAAATATCTACACAGGTTTATACTAAAGCATGTATTATATATCAACACAAGACTATGTCACATTTTTTAACGAAATCGTTTAATTTGACATTTATACAGAATAATGATACAACGTACACAGACACACCCGCTCGCTCAGCGGGCTCGCCGACAACTGCCGAAGTGCGACGAGTGAATGCCGCGTCAAGTCACGTGACCAGTCGTTTTACTGCGGGTCGTTCTGAGACCGCGCATGCGTGCCGATGTTCACTGGCGGCAAAATACATAATAATATTCATCATCCCGTGCACAACATTGCAAAATAAAAAGAGTCCAAAATATCTTATTGCAAATATAGATAATTTGCTTTCAATTCTAACTTATATTTGATGTAAAAATTAATAATACACCTACTCACAGTTTGAATTGAAAACCATTTTATAATCTGCATTCTTTTCACTTTGCATCCTTTGATACTCGCACTGAAAAAAAAAACATCGTTCATTTAATTGCAATCACTGATGATTTGGGAGTATATCACAACTTGATTAACTCTCCCCAAATTCGCAGCGCATGCCCGGGGGGTGGCCCGGCCCCCGGTTGAATGTTGTTGACGACGTTTTGCTCGGGTTAGGGAGAGTTTAGATGAGTCAAGAGTCGAACATGGATCGAGTTCCTTGCTTTCTATAACTCACAAATTCGCAGTTTATCGTAAACTTTGTCAATTTTATGAATATCTTTCAAAATATATGTATAAAGATTCTAATATCTTGTATAAGTGCTGGTAAGTAAGATATATACTTAACGTTAACTCTATGAAGAGATTATGTCAAAATAAATCGATTTGTTAGATTATATTTTCCACTTATTAGGTACTAGTTACTTACTCTCGCTTCGCTCGGGTGCGTCCCTGGATACGTATGACGTACATACATAGGTATTAGGTTCATTTTCATATAACTGTTCGCCTACGCGGCACAAGCCATCTTCGACAATTATCTTCATATTTCAGGCGATTTACACAAAAACTTAATGAATTATGCAGCTAAACTTTCTTCATAAAACACTTCGTCCATTGAGAAAAACCGTATGAAAATCCGGTCAGTAGTAGTCCGGTCAGTATATTTGAGTTTATCGCTTTCAGACAGACAGACACAGCGGGGGACAACATATATGAATATGTATGTAATGATTACCCCTACCTATACCTACTAATTACCTAATTGCAACAGTATTTTAATATGTTTTTCGTTGCTGAAACCACTTGAAGTTGACACTCAAACTGTAAAGGTTTAAGTTTACATAGAATTTTAGCCTGAAGAATTATACTAGATTATTCTTTTAATATACACTTAACCACGAAATAGCGACTGATGATCTTATAAAAGCATTTTCTTGTAGCGTCTCTTGCTTTTTAAAACTCAAAGTTATAAGTGTCTTGTTGCTATGAGAAATACATTTATTTATCTGATAACACTTAAACAAGTTTTATAAATTATTTTGGATTGTTATTTTTTGTTAATGTTAAAGGTTATTAAAGCTAAATTTGTGCAAAATTTTGAATAATATTAAATACACTCAAGACTACATTCTCAGTCGGTTTTACTCAAGCTTGTAATTTCAGCCGATATTCGAAGGTCCTATTTAATAATAGGTACCTACGTAAAACAAAAATATGTATGTTGTGTGGTGGTATTGAACCCTCAGTTCAGAAATTGAATGCAACTTGCACTTGGTCAATTTTTTATTCATATTTGGTATTGGATCATAAAGGTGAGCAGTGGTAGCGCATTAATAAATAAATTTTAATTTTTGTTTTAATGATAATTACCAAAATAACTTAATTAATTTTTTCCCCTAAAATATTTTCATTTATTTTATCTAGCAATTAACTATATCCTTCAAGGTACTTACCATTTATGGAATACGAAGATAATACTTTTTTATCATAATAATGATCAAGGCTACTCAATTCTATTTCTGCTAAGTCTGCAAAAAAATGTAGGCAATTCATTGGATCTTTTTGGTGAGCCTTTTTCCTTTATAAACCTTTTAAAACTTAATGTAATAAAATGTTCTAGAAGATTTATGTTTAATTATCGTATTAATTAAAAAAAATCTAAAACATAAGAGGTATCTTGTGATATAATAAAAAAATATATCTACATATTACATATTATATGTAAGTACCTGAATATTTCCATTCTGGTTTACATTAATTTTAAATCAAGCGACCAACTATGGCTGTTACTGATTGATTTTTAAACTCGTAAAATCGAATTAGTAAAATCTATATTCAATATTATATCAAAAACATAAAATTCTGAGAAATCTCAGTTCGGAGTAGAACAGCCGAAATAAACTCGGCGGTTTTAATGTACATATCTCCATACTAAATTTTATCAACATCAATTCAGCCGTTTAAACTTAAAATATTAATTAATAAAAATAGATATACAGATAAACAGATATTATAGTTATGTAGATACTTTTAGATTTATAATATTGCTATAATTAATATAACCCTACGAAGAGCTATGGGGAATGAACGTTACTTCGTGAGTAGTAGCCTCGTATTTATCCAGCAATTTGAACAATATAGTCACTGAATGACTGCCGGACGAACAATGGCCACTTCCGGTGCTTACTCTTTCATTTTTTTCCTATAACCACAACTCGCTCGTGACTTCAGGTCCTTTGTGACAGTCAAAGGTTAATGTTAAAACGATCAAGTCAACCGAATTAATTGTTTCCTTTTTATGGAGATACGAAATGACAATAAGATGAGGCGCAATTAAAAGAATCTTTTTCTAAATGGCCAATTCATTTATTTTGATGGGCTATTTCTGATTTTATGAAGACCTTTCAATTTAATTGTATATTAATAGTATATTTTGACATGTACATACGATGATAAGCAAAAACTTTTACTACTTTCGTAATATACGAACCACAAAAGATATTGAAAAATAAACCAAAATACAGACAGATTGTGAGTGTGTGCTGGAATTTGGAGAAAAAAATAAACCAATTCGAGTCCCTGTTGGCTGTTGATTCATCCAGTTTTTTGGGTCCAGTAAAGGACATGGCATGCAAGTATCCTAGGGGACCGATAACCCTGAAAAACTGGAGCCTTCAGTGATTGATGAGGAACCCGGCTTAAAGCGTCGAATAAACAGACCCTCACGTTCTTTACAATGGCCTCAGGTGTTTGTTTTTTTTAATTTGCTGAGCCATTTCGAGATTGATGTTACGAGGCTTTTCGTGTTATGGTTTTTACATGATCTATTGTGGATATATGTTGAATAGTCAAACGTTTTTGTACTGTAATAAAAAGAAATCTGTATCTTTTAGATATTAAAAAATATGTACATATTTTCTAATATCTATAAATAACACATCTATACAGATAAATAAAATTGAAGTGTCTGTTTGTAATGTCAAAATAACAGCTTTTTACTAAATGCATATGGATGTATACACGGTACATATACCAAAATAACATTTTTTACAATGTTAGTCTGTCTGTCTGGCTGATTGTTCCGGCTAATCTCTGAAAAAGCTAGACTGATTTTGACGGGAATTTCATTGGCAGATAGCTGATGTAATAAGGAGTAACTTAGGCTACTTTTATTTTAGAGAAAAATAGGGTCCCACGAAAAAAAATTTAAACCAATGAAAAATTTAATAATATCCGATTCAAATACGGAAGTTGATATACAACAATGGACATGTAACGGATATTACATAATAATAATTATCATTATTGAAACAATAAAGACATAGTCTTTAGAATATACCTACTAATAGGCTGTTACAAGCATTTCTGAATCTTTATAATTACATATTCGATATTTTAAATGTAGGTAGGCATTATTATCCGTTCTATAAAATTCGACAGATACATTTCTTTACATTGTAGTAATAATCAATTTAATTTTTCAATCTGTTTTGTACATAAGTATATTGGTCTTTACTCTTTACCAATATATGTATGTATGTATTCATATAGATATTTATATCTTCTTTCAGTATATTGCAGATATCGTTTACAATCCCGAATGATTATCCTCGCATAGTGAATACGCTGGGTCGATAAGCCATGAATTGGCCCGCTTGATATAAGCTCTCCAATTTCTAGATTTCGATCTTATTAAAACGGCAATTGAACATTTTATATGTAAGTAGGTACCTTAATTCGAAAATTGTACTTTCATTTTAGATTTAAAATTAAAAAAAAATCTCTTAAAATAATAAAAATCTTTATTTGTATAAAAACAATAAATCACTAAAATTAAAAACATATAAATAGTGTTATACAATTTTTGTGAAAGTTAAAATCAGGCCAAACTTGCCAAGCACCACAAAAACATTCTTGTGCCATCGCGCCCCGCTGTCAGCATTAGAACACAAGTCTTTGCTTTTAGCTCAACATCCCAGGATATGATATGGGATAAAATGACAATTCAACAAACTTCCAAGTATATAACGAGAGTTTCATATCTTTAAGTCAGATACGGACAAAAATATAGTATATATTACTGTTTGTATGTGTGCATGTGTATACTTGTGTGTTATATTATAAATAAATAAAAGTTTATGTTTTAGTATCAAGTCGCAAAAGATACCAGCAACACACCTGAGCGAAGCGTTGGTAAATGACTAGTATTCTATATTTCAGGTACCAACAACTGAGAAGAGTAAGTAATTTGATTAAAACCATTACAGAAATTGTAACCGCTTTGATCCAAGCCGGAGGTGATAAATCAAAACTTTGCCATTAAAACAACGTGAGACCGCGACACTTTGATCAACTATCCCAACTTCAC